ATTAATGTAGTATGGTGATATTTTCAATGTTTATTATTATTCAATTTAAAAAAATTTAAAGGTGCCTGTGGCATTCTTCTTCAGCTTTTATGGGAGTTTCTGGCAGCTTTATTTTTGTTAAATTGACAAAAGGAGTCAGACTCCGGGACTCCAGAGAATTAGAATTTGAGACAGATCCAATTGACTGTAATAAATTATGTCAGATGTGAATTATTGATTATATTGTACTTATCATACTCTGCAGGTGTGTCTCTGATTATTACCTGACCTATATATTTCCCAACATTAAACTGTGGAGGTGGAAGATTTCCTAACACGTCCCAACAATGCTGTAACCTGATGTGACATCCGCTCCTGTAACTGTATATAAGAAACGCTCAACATTCAGAGCAACACTACAACAACCTCCCCAACCATCTGTAAGACAGTCAACTGAAGTTGTGAAGACTTAAAGGTACTTCTATGAATCGTTTGTTTCTGTTTTTTCTATGTTATGTTGGTGGAATGGTTATTTTAAGTCTTTATTATCTTCCCTTCAACAGGTGTGATCACTGTAACCATGCTGAAGGTACTATTTGTGCTTGGATGCCTCCTGAGCCTTGCTCTGGCTCATCCTGTAAGTGTAACATTCTCATACTCAGTACCAGGGTTCTTATATGTTGATACCATTATTGTAATGGTACAATGCAGGCAATATCAAAGGTGTGACTTGTGGATTTTCTACAGAGGCATGAGGAACACAAACGAGTTGTTCGGTCAGACTCAAACTCTAACTCTGGATCCAGTGAGGTGAGGCTGAATGACAGTCGCTGTAAAATTCCTTAGAAAGTCCTCTGCTGTGTATTTGACAATGCATGTTTCTGATTTCTTTTTAAGGCAACCACCACTACTACAACTACAACAGCAGCAGCAGCTGCAGCTGCTACAACACTGAGTCCACAACAGTTGATCCAGCTCCTTCTTGCCCTCTTCGGATAACAAACTAGTACTGCAGCTGCTACTACCACTGAAGCTACTACGACTACAAAATAAAATATGAAATTTGATCAGCAATCAATCAGCGAATGGCAACATCAGCTTTGTTTTGTGTCAGTTTGTCCAAATGTCAGTGGTTTTGTCTTACAGTAACCAGAGTGCTTTCACACTTATCACTGTATTTCAACATCAAAGCAACTGTATTCTCTGTTGTATCTGCTAAATAAACTTTATAAATGCAAAACATGGACCAAGTATGTTTGTTCTTCTCATAATATTGTTAATGTTATTATTGTTTCTTTTATGAGAAACATTAATGAAACTGCATGGAATCATGGATCATGGAAATGATTGATAGAAAAATGAAATTAGCTTTTCAAATGAATACATTTTATCTCTAATTGTCTGTCATACACACATGGTTTTGTCATATTTCACATCTGGGAAAATTCTTCTTGTGTGTGCAGTTCTTATGTTAGTTTAAAAAACATTCACCTTTGCAATACCATCTTTTTTTTCACAGCAACAAATGTGCTTAAAACGGTTAATAACCACTTTGTAACTTGTCACTGTTGAAGCATTGAAAACAAACTCTACATGAGCTGACTGTGCATTGTCTACAGGTGTTTTTAATAGTTGAAAATTTCTGCTTTTAAAAATAAGAATTTACGTACAAACATATGTATCCTCATAAAGCAATATTCTCCCTGCCGTTGAGCCTCCTTGTCGTCAAAGAACAAATATCAATATCAGTAATTAGTGCCATTATATTTTGTCAGCTCAGACAAAAAGCAAGTCATGTGAGCTCTTAAAGGTCTCTGAGGAAAATTATGAAGTCAGTATCTGTGCAAGAGACTCTATAGAAATACAACTTTATATATATATTTTACTGTGTTTTCCAGATGAGCCAATGTATCCTTCATTATTCGTCACTCTACTTTAGCTGTCAACCCAATCAAGCTTCGACAGCATTGCTGCAATGTCTGTTAGCAAGTTGCACATGCAGCTGCCCCTCCTCCTCCTTCAGCAGGAAAATGAGGCATCAAATTCACAGAAAGAGAAAAGTAGAACATGGACAGTATAAAAGATGTTTTATTTGAGAAACTGAAATTCAATTAACAAATCATTAGAAATGTATAAAGAAATGATTGGTATATTCGCTTTTCTTTTCTTCTTTTTTCTTTTTCAGAAGCATTTGTATGGTGGCACTAGAGACCAGCACACTGCAGCTTATGAAACCACATGCACTCAATATCTTAATAAATTTGACAAGACATCATTTAGAAAACACGCTGAAATCTAGAAAACATAACTAAATACACAATTGTGTTTTTAAAGTGTTCGTAAAAAGATATAAGATGAAATTGGTGTGTTTTTTTTTTCTCAATTTGCTTGTGTTTGCAGTGGTTGAGCTCTCATTTATACTGTACTTACTCACTATCATTACAGTTTCATAATAGCATTTCTTAGGTTTTACTTCATTATACATGTACTTTATTATGTTTTGGCAGCTACAAGCACATAAGCATTTTAATCACAACAGTTTCCATAACATCATATTTTTATTGTGCAACTGAAACCACTTTCCCACCTCAACAGTCTAGTTGTTGTAGTCAACAGTATAGTTTGTACTGCTTCCTAATTGACACAGTGCACAACAGAGGAATCAATAAGTAATTAAGTGAGGAACAATAACTGCAGGAAGCACACGTACACACGATTACCCAACTAAGCTGTCCACCACTCAGCTCACAATGTCTAGACATGTTTACCATTTAAAAGTATCAAGGATGTCCCTGCAACCTCAGAATGAAACCACATTGGTACAATGTCATGACAGTTTTCTTTACAGGTATAAACATTTCAGAGCTAAAAGTACTACTTGCTGGAAAACAATATAACATTTCACGAATGTTCCTGTTTTTTTTAACTACTTTTTTTACAGCATGCCACAAGTTGAATTTTAGTGATAAATGACACCTAGTGGTAGCAGAGGTGGCAAAAGTACACAGATTATTTACTCAAGTAGGAGTACAGATACTTGTGTAAAAAAGATGGCTAAAGGTAGAAGTAGTGTTTCAACTACAACAGGTTCTGAAATGTATGTATGTGTAAAGTATAAAAGTAAAAAGTACTCTTTTGGTTTCTCTTTATTTGAAGGACATTCCTACTGACTGTTTCCGTGCAAAGCTACCTGAACCTTCAAATTGGGTCGAGTCTCTCTCTTTTGTCTTTGATGTCACATTACATGTGTCCTGTGTGATTTTTGGAAGGCGTGCAATTATAATAATCATTAGTTCCCCTTAAATGCATTAAAACTAAAGTAACAGGCTTGTTTTGAAAATGTAATGACTAATAAGTACAGATATTTGTGTAAAATTGTGGGGTTTAAAAGTAAAACGTCAGAAATATAAAAACTCAAGTAAAGAAAAAAAAAGAAAGAATTAAGTACATAACAAGTATTTGTAATTTTCTTTAGTGGTAAGGTACTTAAGGGTTCAAATACAACAAAACTCGGTCCTCTGTTTCTACTGATGTCAAGGGAGTGTGAAAAGGCTCCTGACTGAGCCAGCAATGCACAACTACACTGCTAGATACCACTTAATCCTACACTGGACCTTTAAGACACACACCCGCCCTGATAAATTAATCTTATCAAATTTGTTATAGCCCAACCAAATCCCTAAATGTCAGACAGTGAGCTGGCAGAAATCTCCTGCTGATTTCAGAGCTGAATGCTACAAAGATGACTCACACATCAGCTGTTGAGTTGACCATCCATAATGTGTCCCTATCAAATGAGACCAGATAGTTGTAGAAAACCTGATCTTGGAGACTCAGCAGAACTTGTTTATAATTCTAGTTTCCATCTGCCTTTTATTACTTTTTATTACCTACCTTTTATTATTTTGTTGTTTTTATTTATTTGTCTTAACTGAGTGTACTATTCTATTTTGTTCTTGTTGCAAAAGAAAAAAGAAAATCAGCTGATTATTTACTTAACATACATTTTACGTAAAGAACAAAATCGTGAACAAACAACATAAATCTGTGTACATGAATCATGTCCAGCGAGCGCCATTTCACTGTTTCCCAACAGCTATGAGATTAACTCTGAGTCTGCAAAAACAGTGGACAACACATCTTTAGGATTATCCCCTCGAATACACCATTTCATAACATTTCACACCTTTGGGACAAATAGAGAATCACAACCCATTTGACGGATGATTGGATGACTAGAGGCAGAATCTTATCATTTAAGTGCACATGGGCAATATAGCAGCAGACCAAATTTTACTCTCAGACTGTGAGTCAACTCTGAATTAACAGTTTCTTTCTGTTCTCAGAAAGATCTTGTTTCTTGTTTTGGATTTGGGATTCTTGCTGGTCCTTATTCTGATTCATCGGCCTAAGCATGTAATATGAATTTATGCAGCATTCTTTCTGAACATAATTAAAGACAGGCTGAGAGAACCAGTTGAAAGTGCGGATGTGGGGCTTTCACACAATATTTAATTTGTCTTTAAATCAAAACATTTATGGAAAATAATCACTTTGCTTTCTATAGATATATTATATACACTTATACTTATAGATTTACGTTATTTATTACGTTTTCTGCTGTATTTGTGTGTATAAACAGTGAAGCAATATTTCTTTAAAACCTTATGTACAATGGTAATATTTTCATAGATTACCACTATTTAAAAAGTAAAATATAATAAATAATAATAATAATAATAATAATAATAATATATATATATATATATATATATAGGCACCTGTGTCCTTCTTCAGTTTCGGTTCCTGGAATCTTTATACTTTGTTAAATTGACAAAATTATAAATCAGACCCTAAAGGATAAAAATGAGATAGATATACGAGATACATCCAACTAGCTGTATTACATTATTTATGATATTAAGTATTAAATATGTTGTAATGATCATACTCTCCAGGTGTGTCTCATGTCTCTGATCATTACCTGGCCTGCCTATTTCCTCATCCTAAAACGTGGAGGTGGAAGATTTCCAAATAATTGCCATTTCTCAACAATGAGATGACATCCGCTCCTGTAACTCTATATAAGAAACGCTCAACATTCAGAGCAACACTACAACAACCTCCCCAACCATCTGAAGTTGTGAAGACTTGAAGGTACTTCTATGAATCTCTTGTTTCTGTATTTTCTGGGTTAGCTTGGTGGAATGGTTATTTTAAGTCTTTGGTATTTTCCCTTTAACAGGTGTGATCACTGTAACCATGCTGAAGGTAGTATTTGTGCTTGGATGCCTCCTGAGCCTTGCTCTGGCTTATCCTGTAAGTGTAACATTCTCATACTCAGTACCAGGGTTCTTATATGTTGATACCATTATTGTAATAGTACAATGCAGGCAATATTAAACATGTGACTTGTGGATTTTCCACAGATGGAGCACAAGCGAATTGCTCGGTCCAGCTCTGGCTCTAACTCTGGCTCTAGCTCTGGCTCTGACTCCAATGAGGTGAGTGCGTTCTCTGTCTTCTAGTCTAGAATTCAACATTCACCACACCTGAAAGTCAATTGCTATAAAATGCTTTGAAACTCCTCTGTTGTACATTTGACAATCAATGTTTCTGATTTTCTTGAAGAGTACAACCACTGCTACAACTACAACTACAACAACGGCTGCAACAACAACGACAGCAAGTGCAGGTGCAACAACAACAGCAGCTGCAGCTGCTACAACACTGAGTCCACAACAGTTGATCCAGCTCCTTCTTGCCCTCTTCGGATAATAAACTAGCTAATTTGTTTACTGAAGCTAGCTTTGTTTTGTGTTAGTTGTCATGAAGACAGCTTCTTTCCCTTTTCAAATGTCAGTGATTGTGTCTTTTCACACTTAAACATGTGAATCAAGGTCACTGTATTCTCTGATTACCTGCAAAATAAACTTACAAAAACAACAAATATGTTCGTTCTTATTATCCATATGTATTAGAATAAATGTTTCAGATTTTCAGATTGGTTGGCAGCAGTTTAAATTCACCCAAATAAACCAACACAATTACATAGCATAATGACTATACAAGATCAATTGATACCTCTGCATTAGAATGGCACACAAGTATAAGATATCCTAAGAAATACCAAACCACATATAAACATGCTCTGAAACAGATTAATGAATATATGAGGGTTTAAAAGTAAACATTGAAGCCCTAACTTTTAATGACACTATTATGAAGTTGTATAATGTTTTTTCATTGAAGAACTTCATATACTTATAATTTTGCACAATTGGTTGTTAAATATTTAAATAAAGGTCTTTAATTATCTGAGAAAGTCTGCAGTCCACTATATATATATTCTATCTGTATTCTGTAGTCTTTAAAGTGCACTTATGTTTTCTGCTTGTAGGACTTTTGTTTGTTTGAACAATTAGGAACCATAATCCGACCCTTTTCTCTGAAATACAGGGTATTTAATGGCATTGTAGCTGTGTAGATGATTTCTTAATTAATGCATGCAAACAGTAGAGCAAACAAAAATAACACATTTAATTGCTTGACAAACACTTGGCTTACAAATAAATATTTGTACATTTGTTGTTTTTCTGTTTTGTAATAACATTGTTACATTACAACACAGCTGCTATCATGTCATTTGGCTTAAAGAAACTTCTGTGTATATGCAAGATTTAACATTGGTTATGCACTAATGGCATTGGTTGTGTACAACAACTGAAAGTCAAAAAACAGATTCTACATTTAATAACAATACAAACATGGCCAGATAGGATCTTCGCATTTAGTTAGCTCCAGTTGTGGTTGTTAAAACAAGCACACCCTCTGGAAGTCTTACTGTTTGCTTTATTAAGGACTGAGGAGGTCAGTATAAAGTTGGGAAGCAATGATGTAAATCATAAGGGAGAAATAGGAATGAAATAAAAATATATTAGAAATAAGTTCTTACAATGTACAGCATAATTACTTCGGAGTTACCATGTAATCATTTGTACTAATGGTGTTACAATACAGTGTGTACCAGTACATATATGTAGTTACTGGGGAACAGGATGTGAAGTTATGGAATAAGGGGGTTATTTAAAGGAAGACTCTGCTCTAATAATTAATTTAAACGCCCAATCCTCCAGGTACAATGACTCATTTGCAACTCTTTCTTAGTTTATGGAGACATCTTTGTTGACAGGATGGTATGTAATGTAATGGACTTCATGAATTACTGCATGGATCATATGTTGCTTATGTGGACTGATATCCACAAGCCTAAAAAACTTTAACTCAAAAAATAAAATGGTCTGAAGGGGATGCTGCAACATTTTAATATATTTGACACAGAAGAATATTTTTTTGTGTTCAAGATCTTCTGTTTTGATTAATATAAATAATATAGTTGCAGTTGATAACACTAAACATTTTTCATTTTACTTTTAAGATTTATAATCTGGACACAACAGGAGTGAATAAAATGATGACATTGTTTAACAGCTAAGAAAGTAGCGATTACTATTAATGTAACATAACATGATACTGTGGGTTGATTTTCCTCATGTCCTCCCCACATTTTTGAGTTACCAGCCGCCACTTGCAGAGTAAGTACAGGGTATGTGGACTGTAATCTAAAGTGCCTTTAGTTCCCCCCTTGTTACATATAGTTAGTATGTAACAAGGGGGGGACTACTACCATATATATCTAACTTACTGTGTAGCTACAGAGAACATGAGAACAGTTTGTTTTGATTGTACTTGTTTCTAAACATGGATGAAAAAACAACAAGTGGGCCTATATGACCATTTCTTTACAACAAGAGTCACAGAGTCAGAGACAGTCCTCACTCTGAGGAATGTGAAAATCTTGTCTTGGGATTAGTGATCATTGCCCTATTGCATACGGGATACACACAATTAACAAACTTTCCTCAATAACCTTTTTGATAGCAACATGTGGAATTACGGATGTTGAACTAGTTCTGTTGTATAAATTCCTCCTTTTAACAAGGTGGAAATAAAAAAATCGTGGCTCTCCCCTGAAGTTTCCATCTTATTCAGGGTGAGAAACAAAGCCTGGTCTCTCGCTAGACGCCCTAACAAGGTATCTCATTGGGCCTCTTTCAGAGAAATTGGGAATAAATGTACAACCCTTGTGAGAAAAGCTAAATATTACTACAACTTCAACTTGGTCTCCAGATGTTACTCAAACCCTGTTATATTTTGTAAAGTGGTCAAATCTAACAAAAACAATTCTGCTGCCTCCATTCCTACTCATGTAGAGTTTGATGATTGCTTATGATCATGATCAGATTCAGACCTGTTGTGCATTTAATAGACATTTTGCAGCAGCTGGTCACATTTTTGAGGATGGTGGATCTCCCCCACCAGCACTGAACATAATTTTGATTATATATCCATGGCAAATGCCTCTTAGTTCACGTTAGATCCCAACTCTCCCAGCTCAATTATTGATGCTTTTCAAACTACTGATGCCAAGAAATTGACTGGTGACAATCCTAATTGTTCAGCTCTACTGATTGCTGAGAAAAATAACACACATTTCAACCTATTTCTACTAGTGTGGAAACCTGCAGACATGCCTCATATGTGGAAAAAACATTTAAACATTTTAAACAAAACAGGGGCCTCCACAGGCCAGCAACCACAATGCACCTACAAGATGCACACAAAGAGTTCAGACGCTCCGGATGGTGCCTATGGCTGCCTCACTTCAGTTGTTGACCGAAGCGGCAGGTCAGCGTGAGTCCAGCGATGGTCTGTATACACCCCCCACCAGGGTACAGAACGGCATTCCCTGGCAAATGCCAGCCAACATGAGAGACCAGCCGGACACTCATCCATCCTCACCATCATTGGCTGATTTCTCCTGTGGGGTATTGTGGAAGTTGTCCTGATGATAGCCCCTGTAAACGTTATGTTTTACAGAGTGAGTATTCTTTACTGGTTTCTGTTATAGAAAACAGTGAAACCTGTTGCAAACCATTAAAAGCTCTTAAAATCCAGCAAACGCACTTGTACACTTGTAAAAACTGTTATAACCTGTTATAAACCATTAGAAGCACTTACAGACCAATTCAGATTGATTCAAAAGATAAAGATGTTGAAAATGAAAATACTGTCCACTCTCACCCTCATTTGTCCTCACATCTGCTGTGGGATAGCCAGAGCCCCTTATCTACACTATGTCCCTACCTCTAAATCACTTCTACTCCAGAGAAATCACAGAAAAAAACAGGATGCATTCCAAGGTGGTGTTCTAACGCTTTCAGACATCACTGATGGAACAGGAAAGGATTCTGATCCGTGAGGTCAGACCTGGTCATTATCTGACTTATTTTGGTCATTTCCATAGCAACAACCAAAACAATATTAAATGTCCTCTAAAACAAAGTGAAATCGAATAACATTCAACTGTAAAAGACACACACACCATAACAAAGGCTAAATAAATTAATAATTATTTATAAACAAAATACAACTACATTTTATGTAATACAACTACATAAAATTAGTCTAATACTGTCTGATATGTTTCAGCACATTAAAGGACAACCCGGAAACACAGCAACATAATAAAAGCAAGGAATCTTTAAAATGCACTTAATTTCCTACTGTTCTTTGTTTTCCGAGGGTCTAAGACTGAATATCTAGTATTGTTCTTGTCATTCTTAGTCTTAAATGGATGTATGCACACATGACAATTTAACCGAAGCGATGTTTGTCATTCACTAACGCTATTGAATGTTTGACCATGTTATGAAATCTAAAGTAAATATTAAAATATATATATACTGTGATGCAGTTTTAGTCTGACATTCTGTCATGTGGTAATATAAAATGTGTGTTACTTATTAACTCACATGACAAACAGGACAGCTTCATACTGTCAGGCCTCTTTGAGATAAAATCACAGAGATAACGGATCTCTTGTCATTGGTTTTTTAGTGTTCCTTTGCTAAAACAACCAATACAAATTCAAATGATAGTGTTTTCAGTCCTGGTGTGAAATTGATGCATCACTGGAGGAAACCCATTTTTACTGTTAATTTGAGTAAAACATGAAAAACAGCTGCTGCCACAGTTTAGAAGAGCAATGTAGCAACACAGAAGATGTCATTAAGTTGGAGACAGATTCTGTCATTACTAACAGAGAATCACAGCACGTGTTATGTGTTTATATTAATACTTTTTAAGTAAAGTCTCAGTAAAAGTGTACCATAGAAATTCTATGAAAAGTCTTTACTAACCTGTTGTGGCTACACGTTTTGACAAATAAAGACAGGTATCAATTAGACGCCTGGTCTGGATTTTATAAACATTCTTTGAATGAATAAAACCCCTTAAAACCCACTCAGTTGCCCGCTTGAGCAAGTTCTAAGATGCTTATATTGCCTACAAACAATGTTTAAACTTTTGTCCCTCAGGGGAATCTTCTCTGTTAATGATGTATATTCTGTTGTGTCTCTTCTTTTGTAAGAGACTATGTCTTTGTTGTGATGGAAAATCGAAACTGAAATGTCATTGTGAAGTTTTGCTATATGGTGTCTATCCCATTAACAACTGTGTCCAAAGTTAAAATTTCTTGAACCGTGACCAGAGGGTATAGTGCTTGTGAATGTGATTAAAGATGGAGGATATAAATATAGCTATACAATAACAAATCATGATCATATTGAGATATCAAGGTTTGTTGAGATAAAATCTCCAGATGACACTTGCTACAGGTGGTAAAATTTAATGACTGCTCTAGAGGAAATAAAATAGGTCCACCATGAGTAAACAAGATAATTACAGTATTTGGAAAGGGTTGAGCAAGTATTGTTTTGCAGGTAGAAATATGGCTCTAGGCAACAGATATTACCGTTTTGCAAGCACAGATCACTTCAACATCCATCTTCCCTGATTTAGACATCAAATATTTGAAATTATTGTCTTAATATTACTTTAATGTTATTTTCATTTTACACTTTATTCTCAGAATTCAAATACAATGTGTGTGTGTGTGTGTGTGTGTGTGTGTGTGTGTGTGTGTGCGTGTGTGTGTGCGTGTATGTGTTTGTGTGTGTGTGTGTGTGTGTGTGGGTGGGTGATCAGTTGGGCAAATTGGGCTTAGTGGTTAATTCAGCTCAGCATGTGTCAGAAAATACTTTAAGTCTATATGGATTATAAACAGGATGTAGTCCTTTAATGTTACAGAAACACAGTCTAGTCGAGTAATGAAATTGTGTTCACGCCTGTTTTGGTTTAGTCTCCAGAGGCTGCTATGAGACCGACCACATCTGACATGAAGTAACACACCTTTAAAGTGTGAGAGCAATGTGGGCACATCGGCTGTTTAAAAGCTAATGGAGTTTCCAGAAGGGACCAGCTTGAAGGTAGCGAACACAAGCTTAATATTTTATTCTTCATTAAGCTCGTACTACTTAACACTCGTACTTTACTGAGGCGGAAGGCAGCTCTAAATATCAAGGGATATGAATTACAGTTTGAGGTGCAAGATGAAGTTTTTTCTTCTGATGATTTTCTGCTTGATCAATTCACCTGTAGCTGTAAGTATAAAAAAAATAATACATACTCTTTTCTTGCTATTATTTATTATTTAGAAATAATTGTCAGCTAATATGAAAGACAAACCTGTATTTGAATCAATGTTTTTTGCAGAATTGTCATCATCGAAGCAGTGACTCTAGTTCGGATAGCAGTGACTCTGACAGTGATGAGGTAAGATTTTAACTAATTCTAATTAATCATTTATCAGCTATACTCAAAATATAGCAAAACAACTTTGATTTTTAAGAATATTTGATTGTGTTTGTTTTGTCCTGCTGCAGAATCGCCGCCCATGGCCTCAGCCGAATCCTCCCTGGCCTACCTTCCCTTTCTGGCATCTTATTCCTGGTTTGTTTCCGCCGCCACCGCCACCTACTGCCCCACCTCCACCTCCAACACCAAAACCAACTACTACGACCCCAAGTCCAACTACAACCCCAACTACAACCCCACAGACCACGGTTACTCCTACCACTGAGAGTCGAGGAGACAGCGGATGAACTGTACTGATCTGAGAGCAGGAATAGCAGATTGAATGCGGTGTGTGTTTTTTGCATTTATGTATGTTGGTTATATTTTATCATGTTGAATCAATTTTTGAATCAGATTTTATTGACTTTTATAAATATATATATATATATATATATAAATGCATTTATTTGCATGTTTCACATTTCAGTATTTATTGTTCAACTCTGTTTTCATGCCACAGTCCATCTAAAAATCTGAACAATGTAAAGATATATTCAGATAGCAGTGAGTGATCTGAGACATGTAAGTTGAGACCGGCACTTTGTCAGGGTGTAATTATGAGTTTTGTCGGAGGCTGGTCTCCGGACTGTGCTGGAGACGCCTGTGGGAAGATGCTGACGAAACACTGGTGTTAATATCCACTCAGTGGGCACACACATCACCATGGCTGGATCAACACAGCTTAAGAAAGGGATGAGTGTTGAGCCTTTAATACCTGACTCTTTGCTTCATCAGTGAAGTCTGTCACACTGTACTTTTATCATGACTCAGCCTCTTGACTAATATTCACATTTATCGCATTGCACTGCAAACTCTTTACGGTATTTATTCACAGACACTTATATAAAAAAAAAAAGAACAACTGCCTTAACTTTCTAACAATTGCACACCTGTGTCTTAATATACAGCGTAATCACAGTCCTTCCATGTGTTATGTTTGTGCCAAAACAGTGGGTTTTGCACAGCCACTCATTATGAATGTAATTTTATGTCCACGTTTGCTGGAATGTCAATTTAACTTGCAAACTTTGTTATGTGAACCGGCCAAACAATAGGCAGAGGTTGATGAAAATCAATACTTTTGAAACATGCACTGAATAATTACTTGTGTGTATTTTATAATTTGTATTTGATGGGGGTTTTGAAAAATAAAATAAAATTTGAATTAAAATTCATGTCAAGCTAGCATTTTTTCTTGACATATTCCTATGAACCCAATAAGACAAAAACATGTCAGAAATTAAGGACTTTGCTGTAAAAAATATCATATAATGATATTGTGGATGTTACAGTCCAATCCAATTACAATCCTATAAGCCTGTTTATGGTGTTATTGGGGGGGGGATGACATGCAGCAAAGGGCTGCAGGTCGGATTCGGACCCTGAGCCGCTGCAACAAGGACTGAGCCTCGGTACATGGGACGCCAGCTCTACCAACTGAGCTAACCGGGAGCCCCACCTCAGCACACTATTTTGTCTAAAGTTAACGTCTGTCAAAAGTATATATAAATAGTGTATTTTAAGATTAGACTTACAGTAGTTTTGCAGTACAAAAACAGTCTGATGAGGTAGCAAACAGAGTTTTATGAGTTTTTTTTATATGACCATATATAACATGGCTTGAACATTGTGTGGGAAGCTGTGCAAATATATACCAAGTAAAGAGTATTTCCAATAACCTAATGCACTACTGTACAATATGAAGTTAGAATGACTCAGATTTCTGCCATTTGCCAAAGACATAATAGTTAGGTGGATTTTAGCACCATAGCTATGTATAAGAGTGCATGTGCATCTGTCTATTACTGTTGACCATGTAATGTACTGGTTACTTGTCCAGGGTGTTGCCTTGCTTCACAATGCATGCTGGGAAGGGCTACAAAAACCCCTATACATTTGCAAAGGAAAATATGAGTTAAAAGAATGAAGGTGTTTCCTATTGTATTTGACACACTTGAACAACCATTGCATTTAATATTCTATTGACACTATTGAGTGAAAGACATTTAAATACCAAAACTGTAATAATAATTACATTATGAATTGAGACCATGGCTAGATACTGTATATTGTACAGGCGTCCTGGCCACACACATTTAATCCTCCAGCTATTACGACATGTACAGCTATTCTTGGATGAAATTCAGATCTTTGACTGATAATAAAAAATAAAAAAAACTTGTGTATACTTGCAATCGGTCTAGCTGAAATGCTGTAAATTTTACAACACACCACTTAGTGTGTGTTGATAGTGATAGTGACAATGCCATAGGTTCGACATGTCTTCTGTGCCTGGGTTTCAGGTACATGTGTGGCTTGTATGGGTGTCATATGAGTACACACCACAAAATTAGAATAAAAAATTATTTCAAAATGATATTTGACAACTCAAATTAAGATGCATTGATTACCTTGTGTATGGCATCCATTTTTTTAACCCTTTATGTTACTGTTCTGCATTAGAATTTGATGCTTGAAGAAGGTCCATGACTTCAGCATTACACCTAATTGTCTATCATTGTTTTATTAACATTTTGTTCAGTTTTGTTGCACATTACACATATTGGGTTTGACCATAATAACAACATTGAAATACTGACACATCAGCCGCACCCACAGGTGCTCTGAGTAACAGGAAAACCACAAGTCCTGGGTTCTTTTGACTTTGTTTATTCCTTTCTGTAGACATTACAGCATCATAAGTGAAGGAAAACAGGCAGTTTAGGGAATTCAGTGGATTTTCTTTGGTTTCCACCTCGCTGTTTCATTCAAACCAGAAGATTAGGTTGAATTAGTCTGTTTTTTTCTGTCATGTCTGTCATGTCTGTTCTGTCATTGGTTGTTTCACTCTGTGAGCAGTGCATAAGTCAATGCCCCTCTCACTGTGTTTCATTGAATGTACACTAAGTGCTCTAAGGGGACATTCCTGTCAGCTTTCATTGATCTTGTGGGAACTAATTTTAAAACCATAATTGATTTTTTTTTTGTTATTGGAAATGATTATTGTAATTCTGCTGTCGTCATGCTTTACCATAATGGTGTCTGCAGGACCAGTAAGTAGACTCATTTATTGACTATACTTCCCAAAACAATTTTAGTTTGTTTTATTTTCACATTTTTCTTGTATATTTTCAGGTCCTTCCTCCCCTCCTTTCACAAGGAGGAGTCACTCAAGGCACAAACCAGGAACCTGATGCTCAGACACCGGCCCCACTTTCCCCTAGGGCGGAGCAACCACAGTCTGGGGTGCCCCAGCAGCCAGGTCCCCAGGGTGGACCACAAGTCCTGCCTCCCACACAACACTACACCTGGTCTCCACTAGGAGGAGATCCAATGATCATGCCTCTGCAGCCGAGCATTCATGGATCTCAGCCAAACCAGCCAACACTCCCACAGCAGCCTTGGGTAGAGAAAAGGCATCCAGATAAAAAATAACACCAAACAAAACAATACATTTAACTACATTTTAAAGCTATTTTCAGTTTTACTATCTATAATTTACTTACAGCAATAACATAAATCCCAGAGATAGTGTTTAGTGAATCAGAATGCATCTAATGTTTGTTTTGTTGCTGTATTTTTCAGATTTTCCCCCCTTATACATACTTTCCTCTTTTGTCATCGCCCTATTCAAATCAACTGGTAAGATATAATGTGGACATACACTGTTTTTTTCTGAGATCTCTCCATGCACTGTAAATAGTACTGCATGTACTGTTCTGTGCTACACTAGACGGTAGATACAAAAATATTTTTCCAACCACAACCCAGCTTGAAAGATTCCCCCTGGGGTCTTTAACATATAGTATATTTTTTCCTTGAACATACTGTCTACATAAACTGCACAGGATAGCTGACAGACAGACAGTGTTGTGGAAATAAAGACATCTGTACTTGTGCCGCAATATGTCACTTGATTTATGACTCGGGGGTGGAAACTTACATACTCTTTTGCCTTCAGCATGTTTTTCTGCCACAAGTGATATAATGTATCTTAATTGTCTCATGGAATAAGAGAGGCTTAGAACTGAAGTTTTGTCTTGTCTCAGTGCAGAAATTGTTGACAAATATTCAAATGTAAATGCCTTTTTTTTTCTTCCTCAGTTTTCCCCATATGGATTCCCAATTTTTCTTGCATCACCTCTTCCACAAACTCCAGCAAATCAACCTCCAAACAGACTAGTGTTACCTGCAGAAACACCTTCTGGAGCTGTTCCTTCAGGGAATACACCTCAGCCAATTCAGCCAATTCAGCAACAACAGGTGTCTCTACCTTTATACACCTAAATCAGACAACATATCATAAAAAAGATTTAATATTCTGCTTCAAAATTTACATTTAAAAAAGTTACATTATACTCAGATTGTTTTATTTTCATTCGCAGAATCCCCAAATTGTATACATGCTCCAGCAACGCATGGTAAATGCAAAGTACAGTCTGTAAACAGATATAATCTTGATTAATGCTCAGTCTTGTTTCACAGTTTTTCTTTCTGACTATGTTTTATTGGACATTTGCTGTCATTCTTTAGAACCCAGCACTTGGCAGTCTTAGCTCAGAGGAACTTGAGGTAACACAGCCAAGATTTTTATCTGTCTCTCAGCCTGTTCAAACAGTCTACTCAGTGAACTCAGTGATCCTATTGATGATCCAATTGTTCCCCCTCCCTCGCCTCCTACAGTATCTCTCCTCTCTTCTTTGTTTCAGATGGCAGCTAAAATGGCTCAGCTGGGTGTGTACCTCCCCAATGTGCTCACAAACCCGTCTGCAGGAGCCGTTCAGCCTGTAAACCAGGCCGCTGGGCTCAAAAACCCTGAACAGCAAGGCATCGTTCCAACTGTGGGGACCTCGTCAATAGGAGTCCCACAGACGCAGAGTCCAGCCAGCTCTGGACCACAGCCGAACACTAACAGGGTCCCCTTAGGTTTGGAGAGACCAACACAGGAGGCGGCCACTGTCCAAACACCTGCTGAACCCAAACTGCAATCCACACAGGGAAACCTTGTCTGAGACTGCAGCCACCAGCAGAGATTCATTGTGACTTACTGAGAAAAAACTAAACACATTATTCATGAAATCCGTAGACTAACAATGAGTCAACAAAGTTTCATTAGCTCTTATCTTAGCAATTTACTAACTGTGAACATTATTTAATGTATTACCGTTACTGTTTTTATCTTTTCAATAAGGGATATCAAATAAGAATGAACAACAAAACCAAGTTTGAATAAACATGAATTGTTTCACCTTTTCAAATAATGTGTATCCTGCCTGTGATTTTAGTTAAAATATATTCTTATCTTACAGCCTGCTAGAATTATTTTTTTAATCACGCCGCGCTGAAAACTAAGTTGATTTGTTACACATTCAGCAGACACGTACACATACAAACATTAACAGAGCTTTTAAGCTCAAAAAAGCCACCTGTTTTGGCAGAAAACACGGTTGGTGACAGTGGAAAGACTGAACCAAAACATTAAAATGATGGTTGCAAAAGAAAACAATGAGCTGAAAGATGCTAAAACTCTCTAAAGTTAAGAGGAACAGCTGAAAAATATAAACTTGATTAACCCCTAATCACCTTAGTTCACCAATAAAGAATATAGTATTACTTTATTAGGAATGCACTCTAACTTTACGACATGTATCTGGCAAACCTTATCTCAGGTTTAATCAGGGTAAGGGGGGGGGTCTTTGACTTTGTGTTTTGTGTGTGTGTATTCTAGAGGGGAAGAAAAGATGGATATCTTCAGTTAAAATGATCAAAAGAGTCAATTTAGGATTTTTAAATCATGCATGGCTTTGTTGGCTTGACAAGACATATAGTTGCTCAGAGGTGAAAAGTTCTTGTCTGGCACATGTCCAATATTGGCATTAACCCCCTCAATAGAGTGGAGAAATAGGAGAGCTGGTTCTGCAGATGGTCAATGTCATTCATCTCCATTGTGATCACTTTACAGTATGACAGCTTTCATGAATTCAGTTTCATGCACGTCAGTGGCACTGTTACTTTCTTTGCTGCACAGTTGGAGTAGTCACAAACGCTGTATGTGTGAACCTGTAGTAATGTCTCCAATTTACCTCAATTTAAAGACTGGGAATGAGAAACTGTTTTTCTGTCTGGTAACACATAATGCAACAGGTTGTCTAAACAGCATGCTGAGACCTTTACTTCACAGTTAATGGATTTTGGCCCAAGTGCAGCACTTAAGTGTCCCTACAGGCTCACATACAAGTGAGCAAGTTCTGTATTTTCAAACTGTCACCAATTTACTGTTCCACCAAAGCCATTAAATCAGTCTATATTGAACAAAGGGTGAAAGAGGCTGAGCCCAAAAAAGGAAGTCTTAACAGGCCTCAAACATGCTGTGATTGCCATGCAGGGATGCAGAAATGCTGTACTATATTCTCACAATATGTATTATAAATGTTATAAAAATATTTATCATCAGCAATTCCTATTACAGAAGTTATACAAGAGGTCTATTTTAGAATGACCACCTAAATAAATAAATCTATTATAGTTACAGTATAATGTCAATTTCAAAAGCTTCACTTATAAATTTGAACCCTATTCATGTGGGTGTAAAAGATGTTGCAAGGGGGCACCTGATCAAACACATCAGTGAGGGATCAAATGTGATTAATGTGCCTTTCAAGCCAAACATTTATTACGAGATTTCTCACAGAGATATAGCTGCCAATAAAAATGAAAATCCTTGGCTGAACTCCAATACCTGTCACAGGTCTGCTCGTCCTATGTTCTGTCAGCAAATAAATAGGAGTAAATCTCTCTCCAGTATCCACACCCCTCCTCAATCCTTCAGTACTCGTGTGCTACCAGAAAGGAAAGGTAATGTAGACAAATAATATCATTTGAATTTCTTAAAGAAAAATTGAAATAATGATGTACTTAAATGCTGTTTCAAGTAATACATTGAATATTATCAAGTCTAATAACCCAATCTCTTTGACAGCTTCATTCAAGATGAAATTAATCCTGCTTGCTGCCTGCATCCTTGGGATGGCTGTCTGTGCCCCTGTAAGGAAAACACATTTCTATTTTTTAAAATATTTCTCCTCCTTATTTCTCTTGATGTTTACTTTAGCTCTGCATACTGTAAATATTTAACAAAACAATCTTACCTAAGGCTTCATGTAGCTGTTTTGGAGCTTCCAGTCATATCACATAACCTTTAGAAACAGATGCTCAAATGTGCTGAAAATGTATATCCAAAGTTTCACTTTTTCTGAACACTTTAAAGACTTGCATTTTGGTTATTCCCAATGTTATCAGTGAATATTTACCAATAAAAGATTGTCTACATTATTGATTCTACACTGACCTGCATTCCATTGATTCTTCAGTATTTTCTCTTCTCTATAGCCGCAGATGTACATGGAGTTTGACATCCATCATGCTCCGGTTGAGGTAAAGTAAGACGCAGCTCAGAACAACTGGTGGATCATGACACACAAAAACCACAGTAAAAGACACACTTTTTCAAACATCTCTGAATAAGCTCTGCACACAGGTCTGCTATTATGTGTTCACCACTGATGGTAACATCTCTCTAGCTGAATGCTCATGGTACTTGTTTGCCGCTTTTTTTCATTATAATCTATATTCATTTTAAGGTCAAAATTATTAATCTGATCTTCACAGGCAGCCCAGGCTATTCCTGCTGGAGTCCCAGCTGGATCTCTGGAAGTTGTAAGAGCTAATTTATACTATTTATTCCCTTTTAAAAACATATTTTTATCTAATAATCACTTATTTGAATGATACTCTTGACTGTTTTCATTTCTAGCTGCTCCCAGTTGATGCCCAGAGACAGCCTCTTGGAGGACCTGTAAGTGACACAATATTGCTTTATTTGCGTGTGTATAGACTACTTAGCAGAAAATGAATATAAAATATATTAAGATGCAATGAAAGCCTGCGCTACCATCTGAATGCAAGATAATTAACAGTATTTACAGTCCAACAAAAGGCAGTTCAGAGACCATAGTAGAGCTACATCACACCGGATGTACTGTAGTATTTAAGTGCATGTGTGTGTGCCTGCATGTTTTTGTTTTACTGGAAGGTCCGTGGCTTCATCAAGCAAGAAATCCCCCAGCCAAACGGTAGAGAGACCAAGGAGGTGGTAAGTGCCTTAGGATTTTTATTTCTTTGAGAGAGGTTGTGTGGGATTTTATTCAACTAATTATTTCTTTTCACTTTTTTTCTCACCTGCTCCAGTTCTTCCCCTTCGGTTTTGATCCGGCAGCTCCTGCCGCTCCTGCTGCTCCTGCCGCTGCTGCCCCTGTTGCCGATCCAATTGTTCCTGCAGCAGCAGCTCCTGCGGCTCCTGCCGCTCCAGCTGCTCCAGCTGCCCCTGTTGTACCTGTCATTGCTGCCAGTGCCCCTGTAAGAATGACTATGGATTTGCATTTTGAGCCATTTAAGTTAACTGAAGAATCAGTAAAACTTGGCCACTGTCAGCTGTCAATCATATAAATGGTTTTATTTATTTGTAATACCATAATAGCTTTCAGTGACAGCAGCAGGTAGGATTTGCACTGCAGAGGTGATGAGGGCAACAGGTTCATTCTAATAAATGAGTATTGCGTCAGAAAAACAGTCTTCCAACTATTTCTGCTGAGGTGCTCAGAAACATCGACTCATCAGCAGACGGTCCTCACTCCTGATTGGCTCATCAGAAGCCTCTGTCATTTCAGGCTGCCAAACCCAGCGGAGATGATGATGATGATGACGATGACTAAACAAATCAGAGTCAGCAGGATGTGCACACACTTGTGCATAGACAGGTACACATGCATATACAGAGTGTACTGTATTACTGCATAAATCCGACTTTTAGGATTTAACTAAATAATTTATGAAAAAAATCTGGGGATCATAAATTCTCTTTCTGTATGACTGAATGTCTTTGAATATGTGAAAGTTTTGTCATCAACACAACAGTTAAGATGTATTTCCTTCACTTCCCACTTTAGGTGACCAATGCAATTAAACCAGCAGCCTACCCCGGTGAGAGATGACCAGCCAACATTGCTGTTTCCTAAAGTATGAAAAATACGGTGCTATGCCTTTGAAAAGAAAATGGTGCTCTGCAGAAGGTGCTATGCTTTTCTTTGAAAGAATGGGGACAAAGTATTGTGTCTCAAATAAAAAATGGTGTTATGCAATGAAATATCGGTGTTTTGAGTCCCTGCACGTTGTTGTTTCCAGATTCAAATTTGCTATAACTGTGCTTCGTAATAAATAAAAAATAACTCATCCATTCTTATCTGGTTGTTTGCTTCCAATAACAGTACATATTAAATATGAAAACATACATATGCAATGCAGTTCAAGATTTTCATGCATCTGATGGCAGTGCCATTGAAATTAAATCATGAATCACATTAAGTATTTTGTAATGAGATTATATTTTTTAAGATATTAAAACATTCTGTAATGTTACTCTATGAATCTGCTTCTGACTAATTCTCCACAAGTTGAATTGCTACAGTTCAGTTCAATTCAATTCAATTTTATTTGTATAGCGCCAATTCATAACAGAAGTTATGTCAGGACACTTTCCAAATAGAGCAGGTATAGACCGAACTCCTTATAACATTATTTACGGAGAGCCAACAGTACCACCATGAGAAAGTACTTGGCGACAAGGGCAAGGAAAAACTGCCTGTTAATAGGCAGAAACCTAGGACAGATCCTTAGGCTCTAGGTGGGTGGTCGTCTGTCTCGACCAGTTGGGGTGAAAGAGAGAGAGAGAGAGAGAGAGAGAGACAGACAGACAGAGAGAGAGAGAGAGAGACAGACAGATAGACAGACAGACAGACAGGTGCACAGCAACAACAGTAGCAACACCTACACTAATAGTAGTGACTGATGATGATGAACAAGCCAATACATGAAGAATGGATAACTCTACTTTAATTTTGTTTAAATGAGCAATTTATTAGAACGAAAGACGTGAGAGTTTCTAATTCTATCTTCTATGTGCACATTCATTACCTTTATCCTCAGTTGGATATAATTATCTTTGTTAAGTTTCTCTGCTCTGCTGCTCTCATGATTTGCAAGCACAATTAACATGTGAGCAACAATATTACATTTAATATTACATTTACACAGGTAATAGACATCATATTGCAAGTTTCAAATGTTAATGCCACAATGCTGCAACTGTCATGATGGCAGAATGAGGAGCAAGCAGAGTGAAGGCGTGCTCTGCTCTAGACAGTGT